TGGTGAAGGTACCTCACGGAGGGGTGAATGGCGCCACAGATGCGTCCTCCTATCGCCATGACGATAATGAAGCTCTTTGTTCAGCTGTGTGAATGTGAAGTGTGCGATCTCCGATGATCTCACCATTTCCTATTTATTCTATACTTACCTGAATACGCCAAGTATTGCCGCTTTTTAATGCATATGCAAACCACTAAAATGTCCTTTTGTGAGACACTTTGCTAAAAGACCGCTTTTGATATGTGTTCTTCGTCCCCTCTTCAAACTGAATTAGACTGCTTCCTTCTTTTTAAGACACAAGCAACTCACTATTTAGAATCTTTGGCTTTGATTTGGTGGAACAGCCCAACAGGAAGAGACCATGTTCTCTTTTTTTCTCCATATTTCTGAAGGCAAACTTGTACTGATTTGTTTTGATTTACTAACAGAATTATGTTCCTGCCACAAACACAGGCTTCCTTTATGTCCTTTCAGTCATCGGTCTATTTCTGGGGACAAAGTTTTCCCAAGGAAGACTGAAGTCCCTCTGTTGGTGGCTGTGTGCAGAGCCATGGATGTGTGCCTCGGCTGGAGTTCATCAGGTTTGGGAGGAGAGAAGTTGTCCTCCACAGGCAGGACATTTCTCGAATACCTACTGCTAAGCTCAAACCGAGAGGCCAGGCGACATTCTTTTAAGGATATCCAATAGCGCAGAGCACTCGGTCCTTTGTGGGGGAAGTGTGTTTGGCATAACAGGTCACATGTCCTAAAATGGTAGTTCCCTGAAGGTTTCTTCTGACTGAGCTCTATTGGTCACTCCCGTCACCATTGGGGGTGGGTGGGGTTTTAATGCCAATAGCCAAAAATCGTCAGATGAACAGGACTGGAACACTTCAGCCAGGAGGATTTACGTCTCTTTGTTACATAGTTTCCTCACAAAGGTGGGGTCACCCCTGTCCTCTAAAGAGCACAGCCTGTAACTCAAAGGCACCTTTAGCTTGTTTGTGGGGTGGTGCTGATGACAGCTTCTTGGTTCTCCTCAGACCAGGAGCAGCCAAGAATAATTGGTTATGCCCTAGACTTCAGAGTAAAAGAAACAAGTTCTCACGTGCTAGCAGAGGCGCTCAGCATGGCCCCTGGGACCATTTGAGATTGTATGTGAACCTGGGAAACACGTATCCATCCATCCTGTACCTTCACGATTATCCTGTATAACCTCAGTAAAGGCCATCGAAATGTTGTGAGAGCCCTAAAGAAAACTAATTCCTATGGTACAACCTCAATGATGTAATTATAGAGATGTTGTGATGTGACCAGCAAAGCCAGTGAGGGGCACACGAGCTGTTCTACCAAGTTGGGGACACCAAAAAGCAAACTTAGAGATAAATCAAAGAGAAGATGCCACATTATGTGTTGAAAGTACTCAGACATATCATGGTATGAAGCTAAAAATACGACCCACATATAAAATTTCTTTCTTTCTCTGCTTCCGCTCTTTTTAGTTTGAGCACATTGTTATGAACTTGGTCTGCAGCTCTTTGGTTTGATGACTATGTATCTCTTTTCAAGGGACAATTAGCTATTTTTTAAGGACTTCCATATCAAGTAAGTTACAACGTGCTTTTTTCGGATTTTCCCCACAAAGGGGATTTTAGGAAATTGCCTGACACAGACATTCTCTCATTTTGCTCCATTATCTAAAGCTAAAACTCACAAATAAAAACAACAGCCACTGGATTAAAGCGAATTGAAAAAGTTTTTGTGTTTTTTTCAAGTTGTCTAATTTATTACAAACTAAAAATCTCTTTCAAACTGGCACCAAGGTGGCTTTTCTTCTTGAGCTGATTAGGACCACATGAGCTCAGGAAAAGCTGTCAGATCCTGCCTCTGGCGCAGCTGGAATGATCCAACTGATTTGCCGGTATGATTTTTTTTTTTTTTTTAAAGAATGAAGCTTCATCCCAAAGTCATAAATCTATATTCTGGAGCCCCAAGCAAAAATGAGTCCTTGTTCATGTTAAAAGAAGCAAAATTCCATTGTGACTTCTTCTTATGGGACCTCCTGGAAAACAAAAACAATGAGGGCAATATTTTGGTCCCCATTTCCTGCTGTAGTGGGAGCTAACTCGGCACCTTCTCTCTCCCTGTCTGGCTTCCCACTGACACGTGGAGGTCACGTTCAGGAAACAGTAGTCCTCAGAAAAGAGCAGAGATCTGTGTCTAGGCCAGAACGTGCCTTCACCTCTTAGAAGCCGTTTGTCATGCTGGCCCAGGGCAAATGAATGGAACTGGTGAAATTTGCTTTCTCCAGCAGACCGTGCTGGGCTCCCAGACCTGCTCTGTGGCATTCTCCACAGCAAGTCAAGGCACCCAAGTAGCTGCCTGACACCCCAAGAAGCCCGAGGGGGTACCCTTCCTCAGCGGTCCTTCCACAACCACTTCCTCACACAGAGATCTACCAAGCCTGCCTATCCTAGTTAGACTCCTCTCTTTGCTAAAGAGAGCCTAGCCTCTCTTTGCTAACGAGGCCATCACCTTGGCCTGGGTGATGAGGAAGGCTGCATTATTGGGCCCTAATAAATCTGTATTTATTCTTGGGAAACCGAGTCATACCGCCTTAGCTCCAAGAGACGACACCACATCAGTCTTGCAGCCCATTTCATGGCACATACATGGAGCTCACCAAGGAGCCAGATGTTTTACTCGCTATGCATTTCAGAATTGAGATTTTGTTTCTTTCTTGTTTTTAAGCAAGAGAAAGTATTATAAGGAATGGGGGGGGTGGATTTTTATGTTGATTCTGCCAATTCTAATTTAACTTTAGAATTCCTTTCTCACTTCTCCCCTTTCTATGCACTGTAACCTGGGGGTAATTTTTTTTTTTAAATTTTGCCTATATACAGTCAGAATCCAGTCCGGAATCCCCAGCCGGGCTGGGCCAATCTGGCTAACCTGCCATCTCAGTGTTTTCTTCACGTGAGGGTCCAAGAGCGGCCTCTTCGTCTCTTTGCCCTCGTTAAAAACACTAGATATTTGCAATTATCCCTCAGCCCAGAGACAACGGCAGACAGAACCTTCCACCAGCCACCACTGGGGGCGCTCTACGTTTCCCTGGGTGAAAACAGTGGGCAGAATTTCCTCCGCCGTCCTCCCTCTATTAACAGTTAACCAGGTTGAGAGGATTTGAATAAAAGCACATCTTGTTGCATGCAACAACGATTTGACAGAAGAGCTGTATGGCAGACTGAGTACTTTGCCGCTCTCAGCTTCACCACGCAGTTTTGTAGCCTGGGAAGCCATGCATGCAGAATGGCAGAACTTACAATCGCCTACAAAAGGAGAATACAATGCTACCTGTGGAGCCTCGCTGCCGAGAGAAGATGACAGTTCCGGGCCTTAAAAATACCCCAAACCACTGAACAGTCTCAGAACAGAGTGGGCCACTACGGGAAGCCCTCGTCAAAACAAATCTTTCTCAAGCAACTGCGAAGGCATAATTATTAAATTTTACAACCACTCGTTGAGCGCGTCGTGGGGCGAAGCGAGAAGGGGAGACAAGCGCTGGAGCTTCTAGGTTTCCGGACCTAAGATGCGGAGGGGGATCTGGGATCACTTTTGGAGCCACGAAGAGCGGCTCCGATGTGACGGGATGAGCTTCCACAGCCTTAAAACACGGCTCTTTTCCAAAGTGACTTCCTCTTACCCATCCAACACCACCCCCCCCCCAAAAAAAAATCAAAATGTACTTCATGAAACTATTGTATATGAAGCACTTATTAGCCGTAATTAAATGGACAATATGAATTTACTACGTCTTTAGGACTCTGGCTTGTTCTGGTTTAGAGCAAGATGATTAATGCAAATACATATTACTTGAGATAACCATTTAGCAGCTAATTTAGCCAAATTTATTACAGCAGTTAGAGGTTTTTCATTTTAGCAGACGGAGACAAGGACATGCCAAAAAGTGGGCAACGTGGACGAGTGCACACTGCCCTCTAGTGGCCAAGCGCCTGGCGCGCTTTCCGGGGGTGTGGAGTCGCCGCGATTCCTAGCCAAGTCATAACAGCGGGTTTTGCACGTTTCCGGCATCCTTTTAAACCATTCCTTTCCATAGCACTTTATTTCAGGGAATGATTTACTGCATTTTCCCCTTTTACTAGCTCAGGAGTACCCAGATACAAATCAAATCAATTTCAACTTGGCAAGATTTTGGTTAAAGTATCATTTTTAACATCTGCATTTTAAAGCTCTCCTTCAGTGGGTATTTAATGGCGCCGTTTCACATTACTGATTGTTTTTACTTGTTCCTTCATTTGGGGCCATATTTCAGAGGCTGTGTGGAGCTGTCACTCCATTTGGCTCTAGCCAAGTCAATTCTGTGCCTCCCTTAGGCCAGGGTTTCTCTCTGACTTGGTTGGGGGATTTCTTTTGCTCCAACAGTCAGTGAAGTCTCACGAGCATCTCCCCTGACTGACCAATGTAAATTTCGTTCATAGGCGGACTATAAATTCTGCTCGGCAAGATCAAAAGGAGCAGATGTATGGGGACACTGGTTGGTATTGCTTGCACTGAGGTGAAATGATCAAAGATAGGGGGTAAAGCGTCTTCGGAACCATTCAAATATCCCGGATCTCAAAGAGATCTACCTCGCAGCTATGAATAAATCACATACAGATTTTCCTTTGTTAGCGTCTGACGTCAAACCCATTGACAATATCCACACCACATTAGGTATTCTGGGAGCCAACAAGATTCGTAGTCCTTTTATTCTTCCTTTCACACCATGATTGCCCAGAATGGAATCAAGTCTTGCTCCAAATGCTAGTAACCCTCGCTCCACTGAATTGTTGATTTTATTTGTCCTGCTAATGGCATTCTACATTAAGCTTACAGAAGGGCACCCCTGGCTTAGCAAGGGACCTCCCCCTTCTAAGCTCACAGTTTTGCAGAGATGATAATCATTTGGTCCCTGTCTTAATACGCAATGCCTTGTGTTTTTGTTTTGGTTTTGCCCCCAGTGCTGAATAAGGGCCAGTGTGTGACGAAGTACTACCGCTGGATGCAGAAGAACGGAGGATATATTTGGATACAGTCTAGTGCCACCATAGCTATTAATGCCAAGAACGCAAATGAGAAGAATATCATCTGGGTGAATTATCTTCTTAGGTATATTTTCTAATTCTTTCTCATTTCTGTGTCAGTTATAAAATATACAGCCCGTGGTTAATAGCTGACATGTTTTATTATCTTTTGGCAGTATCTGGTGTGGAATTATGTGGAAATTCTGCTTTTCCTTCCACAAGACTCAGAGGAATAGGAAAAGATCAGAGTTATGGTGGAGGGGACCTTTGGGGCACATTCACAACATTTTCAGTAATTCTTGGTCTGTCAACATTTGGGCAGCTCTGAGGAGCTGCTTTGGTTTCCCCCACAAATGTTCAGGCTAGGGGGAAAAAAAAAAAGACAGATTTCTGCCTACAGATGATGCATTCAAGAAGCACCTGCTTCTCCCCACCGCATAAACTTGCATGCATGCACTCCAATCCTTGAGAAAATTAAGCAAAAGGGCATGGGGACATGGGTTCAGTTTATCCCGCCTGTATCCCAGGCAGGAAACCTTAAGCATATTACACCACATTGGATTTCCTTGGCTTTCAGGTTTTGATAATCCGAGGAAACTGCTTTGCCAAAATCAGGGCAATATCAGTGAATAAATGAAAGCCATCTCCTTGTGCCCGATGCCATGTTGCCTCAGTCTAGTTTTACTGCTATCCTAATGTGCCCTCAGATCGACACCCATAAATGCGGCCAGGCTCAGCAGCTCTCTAAATTCTAGTCTGCAGCCCCATTTCTCTCTTCTTCCCCATCTGCCTCCCACCTTTGGAGTCAAACAAGCAAAAAGGAAACCAAGACCAACAGCCCAGGTGGTCTGCTTCTGTGGGCAAAATTTCCAGGAGGTTTTCCACCTATCCTGTCCTGAAACTATCGGGAGGCTCACGGCTTGGCTGTCTCCCACTGCCGTCATTCCAGTTTGGGGTTTCTCTTGGCCAAAACCCACCATGCTGGACCCCACGTGGTCTGAATAGTAAAGCTTCCAGTAGGTCTTCTGAATGGAAGTTGATGCCCTTTGGCTGATAATCTAGACAGGGAGTACCTGAATCCCATTTTTCTTGGAGACAGCCAAATGAGGGCTGAGATGCTGACAACCGTGGCTCATCGGCACACTGACTCTTCAGAGTGTGTTCGTGTGCATTGGTGATGACTCAAAGGCATGAATGTGCTTGCTACAAATAACATATCAATCAGGCACTAATGATTATTGCTCTAGAGAGGGCCTTAATGTGCACCACTTAAAACAGTCTTCATTTATCTACTTTCTTTTTCCTTTTTTGACCTTTTCTACTCTACATTAATTCTGTCTAAAAGTCCAAGTATGTGTATTTTGTGTGCCTTTCTCAGAGGCCTGACTCTCATGCGAACTTTCCCCTGTGTTTGTGATATGCTCAAGATGGGTTCTGACATCAAGGAATCCTTTTGCCAAGATGTTTATGGAACGGTGGTGATGTGTAATGCAGGATATAAGAACTCACATGTCAGAGAGAAAATGGAATAAGGTGTTGTGGCATTAACACTCTTTGGCTGTTCAAAAATGGTGTTGTGCCAAAGAGACCCATTACTATTGGAAAGCAGGCATTAGTAACAGAGACAACACAGACTAGAAGACACCTGTCCCCCGCGCTGAGGTCACATAGGGTACTGAAGTCATCCATGTGCTTGCCCCTCCCATTCAGATCCCATTTGGTCTGGATCTTTCTTACTGCCTCATTGGTCTCATGACTTCCTACTCTGCCCCCAAATGGAGGCAATGAGATGGGTTAAGGAGAGGTTAGTCCATGAAATTTGGGGTCAACACCCTTATCTAACCTGGGATCAAAGATACACACTCCTAAGTGTCTGGTGATTGTCGTCCACCTAATTCCATAGGGAGAGGATGGAAGACCAGTTTTCAGGCTCAAGAACATCAATCTCAAACATGGTAGACCTATCTCAGCTAACCCAAAGACTCACCCTGAGTTCAAGAACAAAAGGCTACAAGTTGGGTAACCAATGACTTGTGAAGGAGACCAATACAGATGGGCATTAGCCAAGGAAACTCCACCATGTCTTCTGTTCATTGGCATCACGTCTATAAGCTAAAAATCCAGAAGAAAAGGACATGACCTTGGCAAAAAAGCAACTACTAAATATTAGCAAAAGAGCAACTTACTTTTTTTTTTTTTCTCTCCCACATTCCTTTCCTTTGTTCTTCCCTGAGGGATATTTTCATACCACCTCATCCTCCTCAGAATCCCTCACTTCTGGGTCCATTCAGGCCTCTCCTTCCCTGTTCCAAAATGACCGCTCCTCTACTGCTCTTCTTCCTGTTCCCTCATGTGTTGCTAGAATCAGGGACTCCAGAGTGTTCAGAGACTGCCTAAGTGCTAAGGCCGCTGTCCCCCCCATTAGTCTCATCTGATTGTTGAAAGCTCTGCCACTGAAGCTAATTCACACTATGGCGTAAATGCCTGACTATCCATCTTAGTGAATTAACGCTTCCAGCAACACTGGCCATTGTAGAGTAGCTACTGAAACCATAGCTCTTTGATATCGGCATTTCACTAGAGATTAGCAAACGGATCTATGATCGTCTCTTGAAAGGGACGTTGGCCAGCCACCAGGTAGGGTAGAAGAGGCCTTTTCCACTTCAAGGGAAGGGGCTCTCCTTGTGTCTTGAGATGACAGGAGCCCATGTTGCTCATACACTGAGCTGGCCTTCAAGGGGCATTTCTAGAAGATAACCAACTCAAACTGACCGAACGCAACTCTCTTTGCCAGAAGAGGCCTCTTTCTGAATTAAAAATAGAACAAAAATTAAGCCCATTTGTGCAAACGGGCTTAGATCCATTCTGTTAGGGCCTCTTTCACACTGGGACTCACCCCACTGCAATCAGAGTCCCAGCTTAACAAGCCACAGGTGTACACCACATGAGCGGCTGAAAATGTGATTGTAATGGGTGTGTTGACAGTTCAGTAGCCATAATCCATGCATCCCGAGGTGCACCTGTGTGTCTGTCAGATCGTTAGGCACCGAGGGCTCAGCACACGACCTCCCCCACCCCCGGATGCTTTAGAGCCCCCAGAACAGCTGAGAAGCTCCATCAAAGAACCAAGACGAGGGCACTGAGGCAATGGACTGCTTAGGAGCCCAAGAGATGACAGGGCACACCAGTGAGGCATGGGAAGACTGAGCTGAGGGTAATTTTCACCCTCCCTCTGCCCCCAGGTGTTCAACTGGGACAAATGTCAAGCAGCAAAGTGCTCCAGCTCTCAGTGCTCCCTGATTATTTAAAAGCCTTTTAGCGGCTTTCCTATGGCACGTGGGTGTTCAGCCATTGTAGCGGGGTGCAGCTGTAGCCACAGCCCAAGAAATCCCAGCTCCCACCCAAGTCCCACGGGGAGCTGGGAAACGCTTTCTCGCGGTGGCTTTTAAACTCTCTCAACTCCAAACATTTGGGGCCAGGGAGTGGGGAGAAGATGGTCCACAGCAGACCACCGAGAATGGGTGTCTGCCCACCTGATGAGTGCCTCCCTCCCCCTCCCACAGTAATCCTGAATACAAGGACACACCCATGGATATCGCACAGCTCCCCCACCTGCCTGAGAAAACGTCGGAATCTTCGGAGACGTCCGACTCTGAATCAGACTCTAAAGATACCTCAGGTATTACAGGTATTCCTCCTTCTCCATGTTCCGCACTCACGGCTTGCCTGTCCAAACGCGAGGGGTGGGCGGTGGCCCGAGGGCGGCCCTCGGAGCAGAGCGACGGTCCCATGGGTACAGAGACATAGGTCACATTGAGCTGATACGGAGTCTCTCTCAGCACACGTGTGTGTGTTTACGTACTGCCTATATACATCTGTGCACACATATAGATGTATATATATATATATATATACACATACGTGCATGTGTGTGTCATGTATATATATACATATGCATGTGTACATGCTTTCTATACACAATTAGAGACTGACTGATTTAGCAATTGCTCCATGTCGGCCCTCCACTGGCCACACAGAAGGAGTCCCGCCCTGACCCCCTAGCTAGATTTGGGCTCTTTAAACAGTAACATCTAAGACAATCTGCATCTTTCAGCCCCAAATATTCACATCCTTGCCAAGCTGGGGTTGAGCCTCCAAAGCGGGATACTTAATGGCATTGGTGAATGCATCTTTGGAAAGCAGACTTACTAGTAGTTCTCAGGGGCAAAAGAAAGTTAATTTAAAATTTTATTTTTCCTCCAATCCCCAACTCCCATTCCACAGACACACTTAGAGCTGGAGAGGAGCAGAGAACTCACAGAATCTTACAGCTGCAGAGACTCCTAAACCTCATCTAATCCAATCTCTTCTATGGAAATGAAGTAGTTCCACGATTTGCCTGAGGTTCTAGTCTAGGCTGCCATCCAAAAGCACCACAGCAGAGCCATAAACTCAGCATCTTCCTTAAGTCTCCTAAGCTGCATTATTGGGAAAATCTATTCTCCCTCTAATGTACCAGATGGCTAGAGGTCGCCCACCACCATTCTCCATCCCTAGAGCACCTGCTCTCCAGGCTTATATGCCCATATCCCTCTACCCTGGACATAACCTCAGGGAAGCAGGAGGAGATGCAAAGCACAGAGGATCTTGACTGTTTTCTTATCCTAAACCGAATTCATTTCAAAGTTCTTTAGTAGGGCAGAAGTTCTAGAATAGACAGGCTCTGCTCCTTATTTATGTGTGGTGTGGGAGCAGGGAACAAAAAAAGACGACAGTTCCATGACCTGCCCCCACAGAGCCTATATTCTAGTTGCGGGAATAGATCAAAGTCAATAAAAATAAGCACCGTCTGAATCCCTGCATGGCTAAGCACTATAGAGAAAAATAACTTCAGGAATTAGGAGTGTGGTTTTCAATCATGAACAAATATTCACTCACGGAGGGTTGCAGACCTCCGTAGAAAGTCACCTTGCATACCATCATTTTTCTGTGTCACTAATGTCTTATTCCAGGTTATTGACTCTGACGCCTTGAATATTTTTGTAGGACTTCTCCAATGTTAATATGCCAAACGATCACCTGGGGATCTTGTTCAAATACAGAATCTGATTTAGCAGGCCTGGGTGAAAAGCTGGGATTGTGCATTTGTAACAAGCGTCCAGGTGATGCCAGTGCTGCTGGTCTACGGACCACACTTGGAGTAAAGGCCCAGCTAATAGAGGCCCCCCGAGAGAGAGAGAAAGCCCAGGCTTTAGGTGACTAAGGTCGGGGAGCAGCTCAGGTAGGGCAACACACCTCCCTAGCCCTTCCCCATCCCACCCCCCGCAGGGGGACGTGGGTCCTGCCCTGCTAATTTGATGTCTTTGGTCTCTTCTCTCCCCAATGCCACTTCCGGCCACTGGCCCCACACAGAGGACAACGAGAATTCCAAGTCCGACGAGAAGGGTAACCAGTCCGAGAACAGCGAAGACCCGGAACCCGACAGGAAGAAGTCCGGCAACGCGTGCGACAATGACATGAACTGCAACGACGACGGCCACAGCTCCAGCAACCCGGACAGCCGCGACAGCGACGACAGCTTCGAGCACTCGGACTTTGAGAACCCGAAGGCGGGCGAGGACAGCTTCGGCACGCTGGGCCCCATGCAGATCAAGGTGGAGCGCTATGTGGAGAGCGAGTCGGACCTGCGGCTGCAGAACTGCGAGTCCCTCACGTCCGACAGCGCCAAGGACTCGGACAGCGCGGGCGAGGCGGGCACGCAGGCCTCCAGCAAGCACCAGAAGCGCAAGAAGAGGCGGAAACGGCAGAAGGGCGGCAGCGCCAGCCGCCGGCGTCTGTCCAGCGCGTCGAGCCCCGGCGGCCTGGACGCGGGCCTCGTGGAGCCCCCGCGGCTGCTGTCGTCCCCCAACAGTGCCTCGGTGCTCAAGATCAAGACGGAGATCTCGGAACCCATCAACTTCGACAACGACAGCAGCATCTGGAACTACCCGCCCAACCGGGAGATCTCCAGGAACGAATCCCCCTACAGCATGACCAAGCCCCCCAGCTCCGAGCACTTCCCGTCCCCGCAGGGCAGCGGGGGCGGCGGGGGGCTGCACGTGGCCATCCCCGACTCGGTCCTCACCCCGCCGGGCGCCGACGGCGCTGCCGCCCGCAAGACTCAGTTCGGCGCCTCGGCCACCTCGGCCTTGGCCCCCGTCGCCTCCGACCCGCTGTCGCCCCCCCTCTCGGCGTCCCCTCGGGACAAGCACCCCGGGGGCGGCGGGGGCGGTGGCGGCGGCGGGGGCGGCGGCGGGGGCGGGGCTGGCGGCGGCGGCGGGGGCAGCGGGGGCGGCCCCAGCGCGTCCAACTCCTTGCTGTACACTGGGGACCTGGAGGCGCTACAGAGGTTGCAGGCGGGCAACGTCGTGCTCCCGCTGGTGCACAGGGTGACGGGGACCCTGGCCGCCACCAGCACGGCCGCGCAGAGGGTCTACACCACCGGCACCATCCGCTACGCGCCCGCAGAGGTGACCCTGGCCATGCAGGGCAACCTGCTGCCCAACGCGCACGCTGTTAACTTCGTGGACGTTAACAGCCCCGGCTTCGGCCTCGACCCCAAGACGCCCATGGAGATGCTCTACCACCACGTGCACCGGCTCAACATGTCGGGACCGTTCGGGGGCGCCGTGAGCGCCGCCAGCCTGACGCAGATGCCCGCCGGCAACGTGTTCACCACGGCCGAGGGACTCTTCTCCACGCTGCCCTTCCCGGTCTACAGCAACGGCATCCACGCGGCACAGACTCTGGAGCGCAAGGAGGACTGAGGCGCCGCCCAGCGCGGGCCAGGGCTCCGCCCGGAGGCATCGTCGGCGTTTTCGTTTAGACCTTTTAATTCTAGCACTTTGAATTCGAGCAGGTCAGCGTCCTCTCTCACCACGACGGCCCCCGTCCCACCCCCTCTTTCTTTAACTTGACTTATTCTTTCCTGTAAAGATATGTTTATTTTTTGCCTTCAGAGAGTCAGATGACCAGTTGCCTGCCATTTTGTCTTCTTCTGAGATGTGTGTTGGGTTGTTTTGCTTTCCTTTGCATCTTTATTAAGATGTCTTTAATGTGCATATGCCTCTGCCATAGAATACTCAGTCTTGTGGTCAAGAGATTTCTCAAGTGACAACCATGGGGTTTCTTCAGCAAGATCTTGATATGATCAAGATTGAAAGAGACAAGCATAAACAATGTGCCCTGTTTGACTAAGTCAAATGAAATGGGGTGGTTTTTCTTTTGTTTTGTTTTGGTTCCTAATTCCTTTAAAAAAAAAAAAATAGGGGGATAGTATTTTAGAATTTTATGCAGAATTTAATTCTCTTTTTATGGTTAAGATTTTAAGATTTTCTTACTTGCACATAAAAATAATTTGGGTTCTTAAACTTAATTTCTGGCCTGTGACTAGAATGTTTAAAAAAAAAAGTTGGACTAAATGTTAATTACTGAAACATTAACTTAATTTCTAAAACCATGGTGCTATCATTTATTAATCTGTAATGTCTTCATACAAAATGCAGCTCCTGGGCTGGGTTTTGGAAAAAAAATGTGTTCTGTCCTGGTCTGGAGTCCGCTGCTGCAGTCTCCTTGGTTAGTTAAGACAAAGCCCTCATTAACGTTTGCTGCAGGACTTAAAATTTTTTACCTCCCAACTAACAAACATAGCCTCACATTAAATTTAATGGGTCATAAAGCCCTTTTTAAAGGGGCTTTTGGAAAACTCAATCAAACTGATTTGAGGAGCAGTTTAGATACATACTGCCTTTTTTTGAGCTTTTTTTTTTTTTCCTTTTCTCAGTCTAACTGAGGCTAATTTTTACAACTTCAGTAACACTTCAGAGTAAAAGAAGGAAAAGATATTTAACATGTTTTGATTTTTTTTTTTTTTCATTTCTTGCTACAAAAAAAAAAAAAGGAAGGTTGTATTCTGGGGGACTGATTTGATTTGATGGCTTTTTTTTTCCCCTTTGGTTCTCTTCTTTCTAGGTGGAAACCAGTACGGTTTAAAACTAAAGAATGGGTTAATAAGCTTCAAACAGATAACTGCAACTGAAAACCGCACATTAAGTAAAAAAGAGAAAAAAAAAGAAAAAAAGAAAAAAAGAAAAAAAAAAGAAAAAGAAAAAATATCTCCTATTTTGTCTTTGTTGCCAGAAATCAGTGTAGTGTCAAACACTCCAAATGACTGTCAAGTATAAATTCTTCTTCCACTCCATCTTTGGCAGCTGTTTTTAAGGCATCTAATAACAGATGTGAGAACTGTAATGTGTGCAATGTGTACGTGTCCTTGGCTGTCAGTCCCATTGCAGTTTCAATGTGTGTTGCTATATGCAGTATATACTAAGCTAATGTAGTTGTTTTGTCCTTTGTCTTCTCTGTGCTCTATCTCTAGTCCGGAGTGGTCCAGTCCCATTCCTGCAGTCCTAGTGAATCAGTGATTCTTGGGGGTTAGTGAGTTTTGTGTGGTGGCCTTCCTCCGTAATGTCACCCTAAGCTGCTTCTACTGTCTGTGAATCTTCCGTTCCACTTTTTAAAATCCCTGCTGTTGCTTTGCTGGTGTATATTCTCCCAACCTTTCCTCTCTTTCCCTCCCTCTCCTTTCCCCTTCTCCTTCCCCATCTCTCCTCCCCTCCCCCACCCTGCCCCTTCTCCAAAATCTTCTTCATTCTCAGAGATAAAAAGACTCTTAACTAGCTCAAGGTTAATGGAGCCATTTTTTTCCCACAGTGGAGTTCTGGGTATGACTTTTTCTTCTGGAGTGCGCCATGAAGCACTGAAGAATATTGCTCAGATATATTAAATAAATTGATGCCATATAGCCTCAGTTGTTAACATTCCCAGAGTCCCTTGTGCTCTACCTATATAAGCAGTGGGTGCTTTTCTTTGGTTTCCTTCCAGGTTGGCTGATGGAGCAATACATACAAAGCAATTAACCAGTGAGACAGAAAATTATTTCAAAGGTCAACCAACACTTTTTAAAAACAAAAGGGGAGGGGATAATGGAATATAGAATTGTCCTATATATTTATGTGTGCAATGCTAATACTGTAATTCGGCTGTCCTTTGAATATCACTGTGTTGAGTGGTTTCCTCTAGGACCTTTGATTCCGAGAGTTGGGCGCACATCACTGTGGAATAATAAGTAAACAAAGCAGAACGCCACAAATTTTACCAGTGAGCTTACTTGAAGGATTTAAGGAGGTTTCAAAGGTGAAGAAGGCCAGTCAGGATATTTAAAGATTAGTTTTGGAAGCTCTACTCTAGCTATCGAACAATCAAAGGAATGCACCTATCAGCTACAAAGAACAGCTAGACAGCTGTTTTTTTTTTTTTTTCTTTTATAAATGTTTCTGTGTTGTGTCAAAATGATTTCTGGTGATTTAAACTAACAGATAATCACAGCTGCTGTCTAAATCCATAGTGTTTAAAATTACAAAATGAAAAAAAAAACACTTCATTACCTGTGAAGACTGTGTCTGTGTTTTTAACTATTTCTTGTACAAATATATGAAAACTTTTATGAGGAGACTGGTGCCAAGTAGCTGAATAATGGGGAAAGGGATATTCTGTTCGTAAAAAATCTTAGCAGTGTTACCAACTCTACAATATATATAAAAAAAAAAAATTAAAACATTACAAAGCGACAGCTATGGTACATTTGTTTTGTGTGAAGCTAACCGGACCTAACTTCCTGAGTGCCTGGCTTATTTTGAAACATTTTTTTTTCATTGACCATTGATAATGCTGCAAATCAGAAATGTACATACTTCATTTACAACAGGGTTCTTTTTATACTTTTGTAGATTCTCATACATGTCACACACATGGTTGTCTTTATGTAACTTAATTTTTTCATCCGCAGGTGCCATTTTCATAATAAACTTCTCTTGAATTTGTTACTATCTTGCATCATTTCTTTTACATGTAACCATCCTAACTAATGAATGCTGGTAGTATTTGTTTAAGCAGGTACCTTGGTCATTACTCTTGATTTAAAAAAAAAAAAAGTTACCAAAAAAAAAAGATGCATCTGTATTTTTGCTAGTTTTGGAAAAAAAAAATGCATAGCTTGTGTCGCAATGAGGCCGACAAGGCACAGATTAAGATGCTAATCCAAATACTACACCAAACTTGCAACCATCCTAAATTTTCAGCTACCCCAACTCATTGTCATACTAAGCATTATTATGCACATTATCAAAGTTGAACAATGGGCCTGCACGTTAACCACTATGGGAAGTGTGCATTTTTTCTTGATTAATGCACGGTACGTGATGACAGTTTTCACCCATTAATCATTGAAAATGCACTCGATATTTTCATTTATTATAATCTATAATGTATAACCAACCGTTCCATTGCTTATATCTTCTCTTTATACTAAATATGTATTTTCTTTCTCCAGACAGAGTAAGTCCTGGTCGGGCTGTGTTATTAGTTAGGTCATCACGCAGCCTACAGCCTGTCACGTTTGAAGGCAGGTCAGCTGGCTAATAAAAAAAAAAGAAAGAAAGAAAGAAAGAAAGAAAGAAAGGAGGAAAGAAAGAAAACTTCAGCTTGCTATCCCTCAGAGAAGGATACAGATGTGTCTCCTGTTAATTCTGTGCTCTCTAGACAAGGAAGAGAGGGGAATGGGTTGAAAAAAGCAAACGCTTTTGTCGGAGAACCACCAACTGTTGTAAAGGTCATTCCCTAGTTTAAGCCTTCCGTGACCTTTGCCAGTTTGAGGGTGCTTTTTACTAATGGAGGCTTGCGTCAGATCAGCAGACCTGGAAACGTGGTTAAAAGTTGTGGGGCCCTCAATTTCTCTACGGTGCCCTCTACAGGTCCTTGAAATATAAATACTTGAAAATTTGAAATAGGGAGAAGGTAAGGAGAATGCTGAATTGGGTTGTCCCAACACTCTTCAAGGTTTCTTTCTCTTTTGCTCTGAGAGTCAGAAGAATAGAGTAAGTCAAAACACTGTTGAACCTGGAAGCTTAATCCTGAAGGGAGTGAGTGCTAAAGGCAGCCTCCCCAAGGTATTCGGTCTGGTAGGTGCTGCTGACATTGGCCCTTAGTGATAGCTTCCAGAACTTTCCATAGGGGAGGATCTGCAGAGGCAGAGGGGCACTTATAGCAGTGTGGTACTAGGGCTGAACCTCTGTTGCCTGGTGGCAATGTCTGTTGGCCATAACACTTTATTCTTGGACACCGCTACAGCCCTGTGATCTGGAGGTAGCGGCAATGAGAGTTGAAAAGAAGAAGCTGGCCAGGGATGGATACAAAGAAATCCTGAAGCATCTGTAGTAGAAGTAGTGGAAATCTGGATTCTTACCCAAGCTCAAGCCTCCCTTAGTATTAGCAAGTTCCCTGGCCTTTATCTGTACCCATCAATGCTAAAATATGTCACTAATGAAATGAAAAACCTCTCTGGGCCCAAAAGAGAGCAAGCGAGCTCTGGGCTCAGTACCACTGACAGTCAGGAAGCCCTACCCCCTCCCCAGCCATGGGGCTGGCAGCCAAGCCAGGGCCCGGAGCTCCCAGAGGCACAGGACCTCTCCCGCGCCAGGCTGGCAGCCAGGCAATGTGTCGAGACTCCGGCGTGCAGGTCATGGACAGAACAGGGATCTGCAGTCAGCTCTCTGCACCTGGCCTCTTCTCTTTCCCAGCCCATACTGAGACTTGTTTATCTGTCCATAAAAAACAAGGAGAAAAAAAAAAGTCTCAGAAAGGGTGGCAGGTGGGACAAGAGGGAAGCTATGCATCAGCTGAGCATAAAGAAACTGATTTTAGTCCTTGCAGATTGGCATTCTGACCCATCTTTGCCTACTCCTAGACAAAGCTGATTTACACTGAGCATGTTTAAAACAATTTGAAGTCAACCAGATCTGTGTACTGCATCGAAGGTAAAACCTAATGTATATTGTGAAGCCTAGAAGATAGTCTGTTTAGGCTAAGATGATGATTAACCAGTTTCAAAAAGTAGCAAGAGTGTAGGACTTAGAAGAGAAAGAAAATTACCTTTGCCAGTCATTCATATCATATAGTGACAAAAGGCAAACCTTGCTCTTGAGCATAATTCCTGAAGAATGACCACAACTATCAGGCTTACAAAATGACTCTGGTGTGCTGAGGTAAGTGATCCGCCTTCACTGCTCCTGCTTTCCCATCTCCCCTAAGAAATCATTATAAAGAAGGGGGGCTGACTTGGTAAACCCCCATGAACACAAGCAATGGCTTGTACATCTTCATGTCCTCTCTTAGTACCTCTCTTAGTAACTCACAGATAGTCTACGCTCAGTAAAGATCGGCAGAACACTGATGGGTGAAGACATGTAAGACGAAGAAGAAGGGGAGAGGGAGAAGAAGGAAGGAAGGAAAGGAGAGGAAGGGAGGGAAGGAAGAGGGAATGAGGGAAGGAAGGGAAGAAAGGAAAGAAAGAAAATGAAACAACTTGTCAAGAGGCAAATATTCCACTAGAAATGTCCAAGTGGTAATGGCAGGATAGCTTGAGTTTCTATCAAGAAAGGAGTAGCAAAGTGGACAAAGCAACAGGTTTGTTCATTCCTGCCTTCCTCGGTAGTCCATAGAGCTGGTACAGAGTTGGCCATCAATAAATGTTGGCTGCAGGATGTATGTATGTGTCCCTAACACAATCTAGTCTGCATACAGACTAGGCAAATCAAATAGAGAAGGGAATTAGAAGAAGGAGCCCAAGCAGTTGCCAACTTAGTAAGCTTTGACATCGGATAACACGGACCACCAAGTAAATGGTCTTAGATCCTCAAGTAGGTACCATTTAATAACAAATCCTCACTGATGAGCTATAAACTTGGGTATCATCCCACGAATCTTAGCAACTCTCGTGTAGAAATCATGTCTCCTTAACTCTAGTGGTGAGGGTCTTCCTAGCCCACTATCAGACAGTTGTAATTTTTAGAGGAGGCTGAGCTGGAATCTTGCCTCTGGAGTTTAGTGGAGCCCTCCGCTCTCTGAGTGGCCTTCAAAAATGTGAAGATGGTCATCAGAGTTCAGTAACTCTCTAGGTTATCACCTGCTGTCTCAGCAGTCCCTCCAGTGGCTCTATGGCAGACGTCTTCCCCAGTCTGGGCACTCTTCTCCGGGTACATCAGAATTTGTCAGGGCCCCTGTATTGCTTTTCTAGGGCTGCTTACTAACCACAAACTGAGTGCCTGGAAACAAATCTATTCTCTCACAGCTCTGGAGGCTAGAAACCTGACTTCAAGGTGCTGGCAAGGTTGGTTCCTTCTGGCAGGCTCTGAGGGAGAGGCTCTTCCTAGCGTCTAGCAGTTACCAGCAATCCAGCAATCCTTGACACCCCATGACTTGTAGATTCATCACTCTGACCTCTGCGTCCATCGTCACAGGCCATCTGCCCCCTCTGTGTCTCTAGGTCTTCAAGTGGTATTCTCCCCACTGTGTCTCTCCTCTTCCAATAAGGACACCAGTCATACTGGATTATGGGCCCTCCCTACTCCAGTATGACTGCACCTTCACTAATTACATTTACAGTATTTTATTATGAGAAGGAAATAAAATTAATATCACATGCTGAGGTATTGGGGGTTACAACTATAACTTTTTCAAGGACATAATTCAACCTCTAAGAGGTCTTATTAAAATATGGCACTTGGGGACAATCACAGATCTCCATGTGTGATCTGGTACCAACATGGGAAGAAGTCCCAGTACATCTCTTGCTCATGACTCTGAGGTTTGTTTGTGTTGGGGGGGGGCGGAATTTCTTAAGTAAATTCTACACCCAACGTGGTGTTTGAACTCACAGCCCTGAGAGATCAAGCATTGTATGCTCTACTGACTGAGCCAGCCAGGTGGCCCAGGACTCTGAGCTATCAATTAAAACAGCCTGAGAAGACAGTCACTTTCTTAGCAGCCAGATCAAATTGTCATCTTATCTTGAGTTTCTGGTCAACCAGAATGCCTTGGTTTTTTTCCCCAAACTTTTGTTAAGATAGGTCTCCCACCTCCTGTTTGTGTGTGACCCTCATGTAATGTTGCCACGTGCTTAGGTGAAAAGCAATTTGAGAAAAGAAGTTCACTAGTTCATTAGGCATGGAAGGTGAGCTAGAGCCTGTCCCTGTGAAAACACGTTTCTCATTCTCATTGTACTTGACATGCTCCATGAGACCACTTCACCTCCAGCCCTGCTGGAGAGGTGAGCCTGGCCCTTGGTGACTCTGAAAGCTTTCTGGCACACAATACATCCACAACAAAAGTCCCAGTGAGCTGAGGCAGGGAAAAATCAACCATGAGAAGGAAATGGGCAAAACTGGACAAATTACCATATCAGCCCGTCTGTGGGGACAGAATGGGGTTAGAGATGCCAAGATTCCTGCTATGTATGAGTAAAATCATCCACTCAAAATTCAAGAAGGAATAATGAGGCCAGACTCATCAACTCTCCGAAAATGATGGGGCCTCCTTTTGTCTCCCTTTGTCCCCTTGCATGGATCAAAATCAAAGAGATTAGCGTAAAACCATCCTGTACTTTTCTGGAAACAAAGCACAGTTGTTTTCACCCTTCTGTTCATCTCTCCCTATTTGGCAGTCACGAGATTCACCAGTAGGACTGACTCAGACTACATTCCTGTGTTGAAAGAATTGTTCTAGAAAAGTAAAATTAGTTTCAGTTTTCAAAATGCATGTAAACTATTAAAGCTACTTTAAAAAAAAAAAAGGCAGAGCGTAAGGAGGTGGCTCTTCCTTGTACGGAAGGAGTTTTCAGATTTATAGCGGAAGTGTCAGAAATAGGATGTAATATCCATGTGACCCCCCACACCTCCCCCAAAAAAAACCATTATACCCTTGATGAATTATTGACTTTAGAGTTTTATCTGTGCCATGAATAATCACAAACTTGGGAGTCTCAGGGCAC